AAAAAAAAAAAAACAAAAAAACAAAAAAAAACGCAACTTGACACAATACATGTCTTTCCTTTTCTGTCTTAGTTTTTTTCTTTTCTTCTTTCTTTTCCTTTCTTCTTTTTGTGACAGTGCATGTGTGAGCATGTGAACATGAGAAAGAGTAAGAGAGAAAGAAACAGAGAGAGGAGGACCCTTCACAGGGTCTGGTCATACACGAACCTCTTCCTCCATTTCTCCAGCCTGTCCAATATTGGGCACTTATGCTCACGCCTAGCATGTTTCAGGTTGATCAGCTGGGGGATTAGAACTGCAGTAGCCATGTGAAATCTGGCTTCTCTTGAGTGGTGGGTTGCCACAGCACCATGGAGCTAGACCATAAATGTGTTTCTTTCTTTCTTTGATTTTATTCAGTTTTGCTCCAAGGTGTGTACAGTCATCAGAAAGAGAGAGAGAGAGAAAGAGAGAAAAAGCATTCCAGGGGCTAGTTACACCACAATCCCTTCTCCTCCAGCCTTCTCCTCTCAGGATTCTGGGAACATGTGCACGGTGTGATTTCCAAGCCACCAGGTCCTGGACTTGAACTACAGTTGGTCACATGGGATCCAGTGCTGTAACTTCTATGCCACGTGCTGGCCCCATGTATATTTCTTAATGAGCATCACTCAAGTGAGTTTTGGTACCCTAATTCCAATATTATAGTACATACATTTTCTTTGTACATTTATTTTTAATATTGTATTTAAATATATCACTCTTCCTTCTTTGGAAATTTGCCATAAGGAACTTTGTCCAGAGTTGTGATTATCTAATGGTCTGTTCTTCCATTTCTCATAGACTCACACCTGCTAAGTGAAAGCCAAATGGGAAATACATTGTAAGGAATGTAATTTTAATTGGGACTCATCTATTATAAGATGTAAGCAGACAAAGTCAGAACAAAAATCTTTCATGCTCCCTCCACCCCAATCTAAAGAAGAATGAAGGCAACTGTGGACTAATCAGGAGACTAGGAAAAGTCATGAGCAAGACTAATAACATGGAGGCCTTGTTAAGGACCAAGTCTGTTAGATGACCTCAGAAAACAGTAATGGCTAGAGCCACATGTTTTAGATTAAATGACCTGTGATAGCCTGCAGAAGTTCCAGATCAAATTAGGTTGGTTTGTTTATCCTGTAATGCAAATTGAATTGTAGAAATTAACAAGGATAATAGAATTGTAGAGTCAAAATTACCCTTATGGGTCATGTAGGCCAAGTTCTGCCTCATGCAGGAATTCCTGGCCGGTACTACTGATAGCTGCTCATCTGGTCTGTGCCTGAGCGTGCCGAAGCATTTGGGTCCTGGTTCCCACTGCTAGTGGTTCTGTGAAGAGGTCCTTTTTAGGACTGAGCTGAAATCTGTTTTCCTAAAAGGTTCATACAGGCAGGAGGTCATTTCTCATTTCTGGAGATTCATGGAAGTTTTATTTCCTTATCCACATGAAAACCCACAACATACTTGAGGGCAGATTGGGACATCTGTGGTATTTGCCTGCCTGGCATTTACTCCTCTCCCTGTAGAAATAGCATAAAAGTTTTCTGTGAAGAACCACACGGTCTCCAGGGATGGAGGTGGGATGTGGCCACAGCCAAGACATTTAGAGGCAATGAGTTAAGGACTTTTGTGGGAAATGTTCAAAGTGCCCTCTTTACACTAGGGTTGCTGAAGAGATAGGCGGCAGGCACAGCACTGCCCGAGCAATGGGGAAAGCTGGCAGAGAAAAAAGCACAGAGAAGGTAGGGCCAAGAGATGGGGAAAGAAAGGCTAGGTCTGGGCAGGCCCAACAACACAGCGGTGATGCACTGAGCATATGGAACGAGACCCCATGTGGCCAACCAGGTACAAATCCCGGCCTGGAGGCCTGAAAAACATACCGGGCACATGTCTACATGTGCACACTCAAAATCCCAGTGAGAAGAAATGGAAGAGAAGAGATTGCATTGTGACTCAGCCCCACTGTGGAGGGCTTCTTCCCTCTCTCTCTTTCCC